AGGCGACCACCTCTATAACATGATCTGTTATTTCAGCCACCTTTCTACTTCGTCAGCTCGCGAAGCCCTCGGCCCTTTGCTGAGGTGGGGTTGGTGGTAAACACCCACGTTTATGGCTATAAACGTGGGCATTGACATCTTCAGTAAGATTTTGCATATTTCATCACGAGAATCGCACCCCATCGTAGGTAGGATTTTACCCACTCGTTCCCGTGCGCGTAGTACAACCCTGCCAATGCATTCTTCATTTTACCCACTCGTTCCCGTGCGCGTGCCCCACCACATCTTTGCTACAGGGGTATCATTGCCGCGACGTGCTCGTCGAACGAAGCAAAGGATGTCGGGTTGGTCAGGCGGATCGAGTTCGCCTGTCAATTATGGTGAGAAAAGGCAAGTGCCACGCTCAACTTGCCAGATCCACTGGACGAGTTTTTCCGGCATTGGAGTCGAACTTTGCGACGTCAAGCATGACGGACTTGGCACTGATTGGAAGTGCCGGTTGAAGGTAGTCATTTGTTGTAGCAGCCTCGTGGTAAGTGTGGGCGGTTTGCGCTTGTGTACATTGAAGAGACTGGCGCGGTTGGATTCCAAGGATTCCAGTGCCAAACGTCGGTCTCTGTTTGCCGGAGTTTATTACGCTTGCGCATGGAGGTGGCTTCATGGATGGGCATATATTTATAGATATAAAGGTCGCAGTCGCTGGTCTAAGTCATGCTCGAGCCGAAAGAATGGCACGACGAGTGCAGCCCTGCCAAGTTGCTCGCGTTTTTCAACGGAGACGAAGGATGAGCTTGCCGCAGATGCTGTATTGGTAGCCTGGGGCGAAGCGGTCGATCGGGTTGGTGCGCACGCCGAAGAGGGCGACGACACCAACGATGGTCGTGATGACGATCCAATGGATGTTTTGAATGTAGGCCTCGACGAGCGGAATCTTCTCGATGTTGACCAGGTGGTTAAAGTTGAAGGTGAAGCCGAGGCCGCCGCCGACACCGGCAATCGACCACGCCGTCAGGATGAACCCGTGGAGGGCGCCAATGTTGTAGGCGCCAAACATATCGGTCAAGAAGGCCGGGATGGTCCCGAAGCCACCACCGTAGCACAGCGTGAGGAGCCAGATCTCGAAACGGAACCAGTCGTAGCTTTGGTTGCGCATGATCGTGGGGAGCGTGAGAAGGATCACCACTTGAGTCGTCAAGGTCGTGAAGAAGATGCACTTGCGCGCAAACGGCGGGTTCAGGTGGAAGATGCGGACCAGCAAGTCGGACAACATCGGGACGAAGAGGCGGCCGCAGCAGTTGAACGCGCCGTTGATCGCGACGACGGTCGCGCCTTCGTCCGCCGATTGCTTGAACACGCCCGTGGCCATGGGTGACAGCCGCGAGAGGACGACGAGGCCGAACACGATGTTCCCGAACAGCATGAAGTACATGAAGAAGAAGTCGGCGGAGAGAAGGCAGTCGATCATGCTCATGTTCTTGACGTTCTTGTATCCGTCTTGGTGCTTGGCGTGGGCCCCATGCACGTCCGCCGTGGCTTCGTTGACGGCTTCGTACTGAGCAACGTTACCGCCGTCAACTTCCTTGGCCACAACCGGCGATTGAATGTCGGCCTTGCCTTTCTCGGCCTCCGCGGCATGGTCCTCTTCCCCTTCAACATGAATCAAGCCGTGGATGTTAATCCCGCCAACGTTGAACCCCGGCGGCGGCGTGCGCATGCACAGCGCGCAGAAGAACATGGCGGTGGACATAACCACACCCAAAAAGATGAACGACCCAGGAAGACCGAACGCCTTGATGGCAGGCAAGTAGACTTTGCCCCACACGATGGAGCCGGCACCGAAGCCGCCGACAGCGAACCCGGCGGCCGTCCCTCGCATGTCAGGGAACCACTTTTGCAGCGCCGACACGGGCGAGATGTAGTTGAGGCCGAGACCGAACCCACTCACGAGACCATACCCAAGGTACACGCCGACCATGGATTTGTTGGTGAGTGAGATGGCCGCGATGACGTACCCGATGAGAAAGCACGACGTCCCGAGGGACATGCCAGCGCGCGGACCATTGCGTTCGAGCCACGGGCCCAGCAGCGCCGCGGTCGAGCCAAGGAGACCACACGCAATGTAGAACGTGTACACAGCGTTCCCCGCGGACGCGTTGTTGTAAATGAACGTGTCGATCGGGGTGTTGTAGATCGACCACGAGTAAAGCGACCCGCAGCAGAACTGGCAAAGGAACGACGCGACGAAGAGGAACCACCGGTTGAACGGAATTAGCGTGGACGTGAAGTACCGGTTGCCGAACCACGGCACGCAGATCAAGTACTTTTCGGCATCAATTTGCTCGGGGGATTTCAGCGGCGGGTTCGACGTCCAGTGGCGCGCCAGGCATTGCAAGATCGACGACATGACAGGGTCTACTCGACGACGTGGCAAATGCCAAACTGGTCCATCCGCTCGGTCCTCAAAGGGCACATTGCTGCGAAGCTGGTGGGCTAGGTAAGAAACTAAATGTACAATTTCAAATCCACTGGAACGTATATTAAGCTAAATTAAGGGCGCATTTCATACTTCTTGTTTGTTGTACGTAAAATGTTGCGTATGTTTTGAGCCTTGGATGGTGCACCGTCCAGGCGCGACCTGGACCTCCATCAATGTTGAAGAAGTTGCGTACTAATAGTAGATACTAAGTCGTGACGCTTGCTCACGGTGGGTGGCTGGCGATCCGGGCGCCGATCTGTACCATTGAGTAGGGCAGCCCTTGATTCGACCGTGGCACCACCACCCACGCACGTGGCTGTGCCTTCCGGCGGTGTTGCGGATCGGTGTGGAACGAATGACGCAGTAATGTGGGGGCCAGCGGTGGTTGGTGAGGCGTCGAACACTGCACGACTCATCAACGTCCTGCAGATGCGTCGGCGCGACTTCATGTGGCTCACTCGTGCGATCCAGAGACATTACCAAGACTCCTAGGGCTGTGAGCTTCTGCTTTCGAGTCTGGCGCACATGCAGAGTGACAAGTACTCGGCGTCTGACCAACCACGCTTTGGTGGACCACTCCTTCCACAATGCGCACGTGGTGATGTGCTTCTCGGGGTGACATTTCGCCCAGCGACAGCTTCAATCGCCCGGAACTCCCCCTCCCTCGCACACACAACCCTTGTCCGGCAAACGGCGTGCGACTGCTACAGGGCACCAAAGCAAGTACGACAACATCACCCTCATGAAGCGCCTGCCTCTGCCGCACCGATTCTCCCGTGAACCTGTGGTGGATTCGGACGGCTGGCACTTGGGGAACATTCCCAGCCATGCTCGCAGGAGACAGTGGGATACATCGCAGGCAGACGAACAATTCCCCCAAGTCATGTCGCCACCACGCGGACCTGGTCCATTCCGCCTCGTGGACATCCAGCGCACACCACACGCATTTTGCGCGCCTGAGCCGTTCCGAAAGAGGGCCAGCGCCTTGATCTGCGACACCGTCGCTTGTCGACACCCGCACGCCTGTAGGCGCGCAACGGCTCACGGAAACGGCGGCTTGCCGGATCGTATAGTATTACTAACTTGTGGCGAATGCACAAGATGTTGAAGTTGCAGGGACTTGGCGACATTGACCAAGTGATGGCCAAAACATTGAAGGATGGGTTTACGTCGCGACGTCATCGTCGACGTGCTCGGAACTTTGGCGG